CCCATGCTGAGGGCCAGGGAGGGGGGCAGGAAGGTGAATGGGATTTGGGGCCAGCACTGCCCATTGGCTCTCACCTTGGTCATCGAACGCGTGGGTCAGCTCGTGCCCCATCACCACACCGATGCCACCGAAATTAAGGGCTCTGTGGGGCCCCGGGAGAGAGAGACAGGTAAGTGCAGGGCGAGTGATGCCGCTTCAGCCTCCTCCCAGCCCAGCCAGCCCCTCTGCAACCTGGGCACCCCATCTGTGTTGGGGACACCCAGCAAGACTCTACTCCATTTGGCACCCAGCTGGGACTGAGTCCTCATGGGGACACTGGTGGTCCTGTGGGGCTTTGCAGGCCACCTTGAGGGACCCTCAGACCCCCAGAGCTTTGCTTCATGACTGCGGGGTGCTGGCCCTGATCCAGCCTGTTCCCACCCCCAAGAGATGTCCCCATCCCCATGCCAGGCTCACTTGGGGTGGTTGCGGGCGTAGAAGGGAGCCTGCAGGATGCCAGCGGGGAAGACGATCCCGTTCTTGGTGGGCAGGTAGTAGGCATTGACAGTCTGTGGGGTCATGCTCCACCTGGGACAGGGGACAGACAGGGATGCGTCCCCTCTTCCCCCTGCCCTGGCACCCTCCTGTGCCATCTCCTGCAGCAGGTCCCCACCCCATGACCAAGTGACAAGCCAGAGCCACCACGGGTGACCTGCGATGTTGTGCTACCCCATGGGGGGACCTTCCTCCCAGTGAACCTTTGCCACCCAGGCCATGTTTGGGACAGCGCCGGTGACATTGTGCCGGTGTCACATTCCCCACTCTCTCCAGGTCCTCCTACTTACTGGTCACGGTTGGGAGGTTTCCGGAGCTGGTCGGCCATCACTTTGGCAGAGAAGTTGTAGAAGTTGAGCATGTTCTGGAAGAAGGAGTCCTCCGAGACTTCATACTGGTGAGGAAGGGAAGAGCAGTTATGGAGAGAGGTCCAGCAGGGTGGTGTCCCCCACCCTAGCCAAGATACTAGGGTGGCTCTGTGTAACACCCCGTCCCAAATGGGTCCACCAAGTAGGGACACCACCCCACGATGGGGCTGCCCACGGCTTGGCATGAGCAAGATCCCAGAAACCAGGTGCGCCCTACCCCATCGTAGACGTCATCCAGCTCCTTGTTGTCCAGGATGAAGTCAGGGAAGCCAATCATGTCATAGATGGCGTCTGCCTGTGTGGGGAAAGGCCCTGGCAGTGAGATGGGGTGGGGGGGCTTACTAGGATGAGGAGAGGACTCCCATCTGCTGCCCTCCCCAGGGCTCACCTTCTCCTTTGCAGCCTGCCTGGTCTTCTCATCCATCCAGTCAAGCTGGTCCAGGGACACCTCAAAAGCTGCCCGGATCTCACTGATCATCTCCTCAGCCTGGGGAGAGGAGGAAATGAAGACCCCCCCCTGCCCCCCTGCAGCCCCTTGGGAAGGGACAAGGTGGGGAGGATGCAACCTCTCTGGGGCTGGGGGTCCTATTTCCCTGCTCCTCGCCTTCCAGCCCTGGGATTTGGAGGGTAAAGGCGGGATTTCCACAGAGAGTGATGGGGAGGGGATGGGGGCAGCATTGTCCTCACAATGGCCTTGCTGTCCCGGTCGAAGGTGGCTTTGACGAAGAGGGAGCCCAGGGCGAAGCCCAGCGTGTCGTCCGTGTTGGAGATGCAAGTTTGCCAGCGGGGCGTGCAGGACTGTGGAAGTGAGACGGGGGTCTGTGAGACCCCTCCCAGACCCCTCCCTTGCTCCCCTCCATTCATCCAGCCTGTCTCTGTCCCCTCCCCAGTGGGGAGATGCTCAGCAGCTAAACACCTATCCCAAAAGATGATCCTTGGGTTCCCTCTGTGGCATCCAGAGATCAGCATCCCAAGGGCATCCCAAGGGCATCCCAAGGGCAGAGGTGGTGCTGGCTGCTTCCAGGCTGAAGGCAGAGAGCGCTGGTCCCAGGGTCCCCCTGTTACCTTCCTGGTGCCATAGAGTGTCTCCAGAAGCTTCTCCTGGGCTGTCTCGAAGCGCTGGTCCAGGCTGGAGGCCGTCTTCTGCACCAGGTTCCAGATCAGGTAGTTGTTCAGGACACTGCAGGGGCAGTGAGATGCCACTGCACACCTTGATCCATGGGGATGCCCCAGCCTCCAAGCCACCAGCGAGCCCCAAAAGTGCCCCACCACGGGGGCAGTCTCAAATGGGGCATGGCTGGGGGCTGGTGGGTCCCTCACCTCCTGTCGGTGGCATTGATGAGGTCGGAAACCTGCTGAAGGTAGGTGTCCCCATACACCACTACCGGCTCCGTGTCTGCCAGCTCCAGCGGGGCCAGGGCGTAGGACAGGTAATCCAGCCAGTCAATGGAGGGGGCCAGGGTCTGGAGGGGGCATGGCACTCAGGTGTTTGGCATGGCTCTGCCCACCATGGGGGTATCCCCTGGGGCAACATGGGAAGGTCCCAAATCCCTCACCACCCCATACCCCCTCTCTGCCCCAAAGCACTCTTCCCATGCCTCCCCGCTGCTCTCAACGTTCAGGACAAGTAGGGGACCCCTGGATCCCCCTACACAAGGTGGAAGCTCTCCCTAAATCCTAACGACCCTAGGGAGGAGCGCCTCACTCTGTCACCCAGAAAGGACAGGGCTGCCCGGGATGTCCTAGAGGGAAGGCAGCAGCCGGAACAGATCCCTCAGTGTCCCACTGGACAACCCCTCCTCATGTCCCCAGAGGGTTTCCCCAGACTCTGCTGGGCCATGCCCACCTGGAGCTCGGCAATGCTCATCTTGTGGTAGATCTTCTCGTCGTCCCGCCGCTCAGCCTGTGGCACAGTGATGTTGGCCAGCTGCGTTTCGAAGTCCAGCACCTGCTGCATCTGGAGGCGGGTGAGGGCCGGGGGACCCCCCCCAGCTCCACCATGTAGTCCAAGTACGCAGCCAGGACCTAGTGGGACCAGGACCTTGGCTCAGCACCTGCCACAGCTCATCCCACCTCCCCGAGGGGGTTCCAACCCGCTGCCTGGACACCATGCCACCCCTTTGGTGAGTTTCCCCGACTGCTGCTGGCAGTGTGCCCCATCCCCCGCCTCACCCTCTCGTTGGCAGTCTTGTTCAGGTAGTAATCCCGGGATGGGAGGAAAAGCCCCGACTGGTCCACCTGGGAGGGGAGCGGGGCAGCATGGCCAGCCCGGTGGCCCCGCCAGTGCCCGCTGCCCCCCTGGTGCCAAGGTGCAAACCTGGATGACATTGCTGTTGGAGCTCTTGGAGTCTGCACCCACGTACACTGTGAAGAAGGGTGTAGCCCGGTATGTGCCTGACACCATCTTGAGCACCTCCATGAAGCTGGTCTGGTTCCAGGAGCCAGTGACGTTCCACCCCCCAATCTGCCAGGAGACAGACCTGACACCTCAAGGAGGAATGGGGTCCATCCCTGAGGGCTTCCCCCTCCCCAGTGACATGAAGAGCCGGGTGGGAGATGTGCTATACTGAGTCTCGACAGCTCAGCTCGTGTGTGGATGGTTGCGAACCTTGTCTATGAGCTCCATGAGGGGCTGAGAGCCCAGCTCCTCTATCTTCTGCTCCTTGAGGCAGGACAGGTAGTACCGCTGCGTCTTCCTCTCTGCCTCGCTGCTGGAGTTGAAGGTGGAGTTCTCTGCGGGACGCTGTGGGTCAGCCCTGGGGACACGGGGGCTCTGCCCACCTGTGCCTGGAGATCAGCCCCCCCAGTAGCCATGACTTTCCCGTTGCCCACCTAGGAGATGTTTCATGATGGCTTGGTTCTGGTCCCAGATGCTGTTGAAGGTGCTCCACTTGGAGCGCCCATTGGGCAGCGGGTTTCTCCTGATCCAGCCCCCACACGAGTACTGGTAGAAGTCCTGGCATGGGTCTGTCTCCGCATCCAGGGCCTCCAGAATCTTGCTGGCCACTCGGACACAGGCGTCCGTCAGGCAGGTGCTGTGAGAGGGATCTGGCAGGGAAGGCATGCCTGGGGCTGTCCGCGTGTGCCAGGGGAAACTGAGGCACGGAGCGGGGCCAAGCCCTTCCTGCATGCCGAGGCGGACAAAGCCTCCGCCGCAGGAGCCCAGCGCTGACCCGTCCCTCCTCGTTCTGTTGTGCATGTCCCTCCCAGGGTGCGGGGCTGCCAGGGCTGCGGGGACCCCTCCCTACCTCTG